AAAGGCTCTGTGTGCTGTGTGCTGTGTTTTGCTCCTGGGTTTATCTGGGTTTATCTCATAATAATAGTCACACTGCCAAAACCCTGACATATCCGGTATATTGCATTTGTGAACAGAACACAAAGCCTTAGGTAAAACAGGAATACCAAACGTGTCATACATGAGAATAAATGTGTAATCTTCATGAACTATATATTTGCCTGGAATGTTTGCATCTAATGCTACCTAAAAGCAGAAATTTTAAGAGTTAGTAGTTGGAATTACCTGTGTATTCCTAACACAGTTACTCCTAATGATATCCTATTAAGTTCTTTTGGGCTTCACCTGTAAGTGTGTAAAGGATTACACCCGGAGATATTTTATTCCCTACCCTACCATCCACAACCCTCATCACTGCAAGCAGCTGTTCCATGAATAATTAATAACATATTCCGATGCCTACTTACTCATAAGTGAGTCTTATCACTTGCATTAAGTGAGATTTATGTTGCAGTCCTATGCTTGCTTCTTTCGGATTTAGTTGCAATAATTCAGTTCCAGCTTGATATAAGTTCCTCAATGGATGCTTTATTCGGCGAAGCCTGTTTAGAACACTTCGACATTACTCTGCACAGATAAAATGGTTGATATCCGTTTCTGAACATTTGAAAATAACTGGTGTTGCATGAGATGAAAAATTAACCTATAGTTTTCACCTGTTATTTATAGGTTCCACATATTATTTTTCATCTTCATCCTTCTGTTGCAATTTCCCTCCCTGTAACATTGGCCTGGCATTCTAAAATAAATATGTGCGTTTTCTTTTCAACTGTTGCAAAGGAAATATTATAACACATTTCCTACATTTAACTCTAACCTGGGAGTGGATATTTTTTTCAAAAACCACATTCTCTCAGCTTGAAACTGAGCAAGGTCTGTACCCCAGCAATAAACATGCCCAGACCTTGAAATGGATTGCGTTATGTATGCGACTTGTTTAGATAAGAGAGAGAGAAAATATTGCATTAACTAAAAAAAAAAAAAATCATAGGGTTTCCTCGAAATGTCATAGTTGCAGATGATATGCTTTTCTATTATTTTAATGATAAGGAAGCTCCCTGTTCTCAGGAAAATAATTTTGAAAGGCTTCAAATGAAAGAAAAGATGCTTAGGACAAATAGCCAGCATTGAAATCAAAGCAATAGCAATAGCACTTAGATTTATATATCACTTCACAGTGCTTTACAGCCCTCTCAAAGCAGTTCACAAAGGCAGCCTATTGCCCCCAACAATCTGGGTCTGCGTTTTACTGACCTCAGAAGGATGGAAGGCTGAGTTAACCTTGAACCGATCAGAATCGAACTCCTGACAGCGAGCAGTGTGTTAGCCTACATGTACTGCATTCTAACCACAGTGCACATGCCGTTAGTTATAACCTTCTTATAGCTTCTTTTTGCTTTGTGCCTTTGTGAGTCAACCTTGAGCCGATCAGAATCGAACTCCTGACAGCGAGCAGTGTGTTAGCCTACATGTACTGCATTCTAACCACAGTGCACATGCTGTTAGTTATAACCTTCTTATAGCTTCTTTTTGCTTTGTGCCTTTGTGAGTCAACCTTGAGCC